TATTATTATTATTATTAGCTCATTTATTATATTCCTGCTCTTAATCACACCCTCATTCTTTGTGCTATAAGTTCCAGAGTGATATCCAGATGATATCACTAGAGGTTTAATCATATTGTTTTGTGCTTTTTAAATTGATTTACAGTTCTGTGAATGCACAGGAGCATAGTTAGGGGCACCCCTTAAACAATGCAACAGACAGGTGAAGTACTCCACTCTTCATCTGAGCTCTAAGGAGACATCTAGCATCCTAAGAGGCATGAATTCTGGGTGAAATGCAACCTGTCCTCTGTTTCTTTACTTTAAATTGTGATTCCGATATGCCCCAGCCACCATGGCCAACAGTCAGGAACTGTGGGTGTTATAGTCAAAAACAGAGACCTCGCCCTTTTATTTCTTATGTACCATCCTCACTACATCAAACTATCTGGTCCCTGCCTTGAGAGCAGTAAGAAGTCCATTGTTTCTTGGAGGGCCATTTGTATGTTCACAGGCATCATATTTATAGTTTATGATAAGTTTTAACCCCTTAAAAAAAACCCTGCAGCAGCATTGTTGAAAGTTTTTAAAAAATCATTTCATTAGTAGAAAGAAGAGAAATTCCATTAGTCCACCTGCAGCAGGATATGAGAATTGAGCAAAGACAAAAAATTTTTTATGATTGCTGTGAAAACCCAGCTGCAGTTTTTCTCAGTATGTTCCCTCTGTACCCACAGAATAGCCTACCTCAGAATTCCTAGGCAAATCCAGAGATTAGTTAGCCTATTTGAAGTCCTTACTTGGAGAAGAAAGAGAAAAGCTACTTCAAGCAGAATGCCAGTCAATATGCTTTAGTGATGACAACATTTTTTTCTCCAACCAGTACCAAAGATTTCAGGGTACTTGATGCATCCATCAGAAAACTATATATATGTGCAAGACTAATGTTCGTGGTTACTTAACTGGGTTAGCAACAAATATTTGGCACACCACGACTTATCTTGTACATGCTAAATATAGTGACGTGCTTAAGTCCCAGAACACAAAGACATGGAAGCCCCTCATGCATTGGGATCTTGCACCTATGGTGAAGAAAGATCATTTCATACCAACTTGAGTGTGATGGGAAGAGTCATAGATATGGCTAGCCTTACTATAAGGCAGGGTGTAGCAGTCACTGCCTAAGGCAGCAGATTTGGCATGTCGAGTTATTTAATTTGTAGCAATTGTATTTTTCCTGTTAAAGATGGAAAAATATTGGAGGAATTTTTCTTTCAAAGTAAATTTAGTGAGTTTGGCCATTATGCGCCTTAACTTTGATGGGTAGGAATGCCATTTTCAACCCTGCCTGAGGTAGAAAAATGGCTTGGGATAGCCATGGACAAAGAACTGCAGGGTAGGCCCATTTTCGTTGCAATGTGCATTGGAAACCCAGCTGCGTAAGGGAAAGCAAAACTGTCATTTCTGCAGGTTCCCCAACTACTGTAGTTGTCCTTTGTCCTCTAATCCCATGTTGTGTATCATATCATCGAACCCTCTGTGCCTTTGCACATGGTTTTAAAGCAGCTTCTGAACTAAATGGGATCTATGCCATACATAGCCAGTATACATCTCAAGATAGTGACTGAATGGTTAAAAAGGTATTAGTTTTGGAATCTGCCTCAAATGTTTCAAGTTTGAAGAAGTGTTCTGTAGAGTGGACACTCCCATTGGCAGAGAATAAAATCTGATCTTCAGAGATAAAGAAATAAGAATAACCACAAAAAGCATATTTATCTTTGAGAGGTCTGAATGCTCATACTGTCTGGGTCATACCCTGAATTAATTGTTAGTTGTGAGTTAATTTTTAAACTTGGACATGAATTCAGCCTTTACATTTGACAGAACTAGAAAAATCAGTGAGATTAATATGCGCATAAAGAGGAACTACAGCCTATGGCTGTCCATTGTAGTCTTCTTCACCCTCGGTCCAATGTGCGGTACTACAGCTCCCATCTACTCCAGCAACACATATCCAACTGCCGTGGCATTTGTAGTCCCAACCCATCTCGACAGCACCAAGTCAGGGAAGTCTGGGCTTTAGAAAAGAATCTTATCCTAACACATTCTCCTAACTCATTCTTTGAAGGCCTGATTAATGGGACACTTTTTCTGTGCACTTGTGCCTGCATGTTTTGGAATGACTCTCTTCCTTCACGTATCATTGGATGAAAGTGCTCAGGGAATTAGTTATTACTGGGAGAAGAACCAGTATTGTTGAGGATCTGCAACTGTTATATCTTGGTCTTGCAAGGCCACTTCCTTTATTTACATAGTACCCAGCCTAAGAGAGAGAGAGAGAGAGAGAGAGAGAGACTAGATCGATCAGATTATGAGAACGAAAGGAAGACCATGGTTTGATCTAGCTGAGCTCCCCCTAACTACTTCAGCTTTCTTTCCAGGTGCAGCACATTTTTATATGGAAACAGCCAATGCTCAGTGTAAGCAAAACACCAGCACATGGCAAAATTAGTCTCTCATGCCTTATCATGATGCCATGAGGCCCTTAAGCACTGTTGCCACAATTATATCAGCTTGCAGATGATAAGAAACCAAGGTACTATTTCAAAAACGTGCTTTATTTGGAACATGGTGAGGAAAACTATTTGTGAGTGCTTAATATTGAGCATGTCTTTTTGTCTGTAAAACTAAACGTTGACTTAGACTACATTTAGCCTGTGTTTAAGAAAGTGGTGCTCCCTCAGAGGAAAACTATTTGTGAGTGCTTAATATTGAACATGTCTTTTTGTCTGTAAAACTAAAAACTAGACTTAGACTACATTTAGCCTGTATTTAAGAAAGTGGTGCTCCCTCAGGTGCTGAAAGATGTCTGTTAGTCCTAGCCCACTCTCTCCCTCACCTCAATACCTTACATTTCAGGGTGCTTTGTTTTGTCATTGCTTACTGGAAAATAAACATGGGTTTAATTTCCATGTTGCATTGATGAGGCACATATCTCTGAGGAAATTGCACCACCAGAGGAAAAGCTGGATAAATGTAGGGAATATCCATTTCCTTTAATATCTAGTTTGAACCTGAGCAGTTTTCCTGAGCAGAAAGCTTTGATATGTGCCTTGATGGAGCTTTGGTGGACTACCTTCCACATCAGCGAATGCATATGTCACTTTCATTAGGTCCAGAAGAGTGATACAGTGAAGGAGGACATTCAGTGCAACTCCATTTGCTCTGCAATTCTACTGACAAGAGTGAAGGAGGACATTCAGTGCAACTCCATCATTTGCTCTGCAATTCTACTGACAAAGGCTGGAATGGGCTAAATAGATTTTTTTGAACAGACACTTCTAAAGGGTTATGTCAATTGACACTAATGATGTTTGTCATTGTGAAAGGGATGTGTTTGTCTCCTTTGCATCTGATTACATTTGTATCTTTGTTGGAAATCCCTGGGAGTAAAACTGCCTATTGAAGTAACATAGAATTTGGTGCCTCCGTTCAGCAAAAAGCAAGCTCTGTTTGCAGCCCTGCTGAAATCACAACACTAGCAGATCATGACTAAAACCACCACCAAAGGAAATTGCTCGGTGCTTCCAGTAACGTACTGTATTAAATAAGACTCTGAGACTGCAGTTTATGGGAAGATCATATCTGACACTGTCCAAAAAAATAAAAAAACAACAACAACAAAACACAATCAGATAAAGAAGAGTATATGTTTTGGAGGACAGGTACAGAAAAGCGTTACTCTTGAGGAATAAACTAGATGTTACAGGGCAGGCAAGCATAATGGAGAAATGTTTTTAAGGTGGGAGGAGAAATTTATCAGCTCTTTTCTCTCTAACAGTTTACCTGATCAAAATCTGTTTCTCCACATAAAGATGTGCTTTCACTTACTGGACAAAGGTATGAATCCCATCCCCACCCCACAGATGCAAAAGCAGATGGAAAGCCATTCTGATTAGGAAAAAGAGGAGAGGAGAAAGGGTTTCTCTTATGAGTTTCTAGCTCTCATATTACTCTGTCCATACAAGGAGAGGGAATGTAAGAGTAATTATTTATAGAGATTAAGAATTTTGATTGTTAGAATAAAGACACGAGAGAGAGAAATCATACCTGCATTCATTCACTGTAAGATGTGCAGTTTTTCTGGCATACAGATTAACTAATAAATCTGTAT